ATTAGTGCTGCTCTAATAATAGACCTAATCCTAAAATTGTAGATTTTTCATGATATAACTGCCTAATCTATAAGATCTTACGTGGAAGTCACATCATCGTCTACACCAACTCACTGTATCGTATTCTTGGTAACCTCGGGCGCGCGACAATCCATCTAACTTGGTATCGAACCAACACCACGTTGATTCCGGTGGGAGAGTAGTGTAGTGGCATTGGACAATAACCACACAATCTTCAAAGCTGAATACGAGATCGCTCGGAAAACAGATATTCAATATTTAACGCGGAGAAATACCTAACGATAGAGAAGGCGCGAACAGTGAGTTGAATGAATTGGAGTTGATTGAATGGCATGGCTCGGCCGTGCAGGCGTGGTCCCTGCTGAATATTACCTTATATCTCTTGTTCATATTAAATATATTATTCTTTCTCTAGCCTAAGCTTGTTCTTCATCATGTATTGGTAGTTGTTACGATACAGTGAGCTGGTGTAGACGATGATGTGACTCCCACGTAAGATCTTATAGATTAGGCAGTTATATCATGAAAAATCTACAATTTTAGGATTAGGTCTATTATTAGAGCAGCACTAATATTGTAGTAGACCATAGTTCTACACACGCTCTAACCTCTGGTCAACTCTTCCAAAGAAGCCAATTCGGTGAGTCTATTGTTTATCTGTCCACGTCTGTCGTATATTTTCATATTATTTTTTAATATATAATATACTCGACATGACGGATGGCGACAAGAATAGTATTAATGTCATAAATTCGGACGTACAGGCCATTCACTTTCGACCTGTGTCGTTCATTCCCCATGACCCAGAGGTTCGGTTTGCTGCGTTAGGGTCTCAGTTCGAGACTCGTCGCATCACGAGCCAAAGGCAAAAGTACGCCTTCGCTCTCGAATCACTACCTGGGGACCAATTGGTAGCTGTACGTGAGGTTGTCCTCAATTCCAACGTACCTAATGTTTACGATCGCCCCAAAGAGGCAATTCTCAGACACTTCCTCCCATCGAGGGAGGAACGATTGAGGAAATTGTTAGCACGTCACTCCCTGGGTGATGCTAAATCAAGCCACCACCTCACGCGCCTGCAATCTCTTGCAGGACCAACAGCAAGTGACTCGGAAATAGTTAAGGAATTGTGGCTCGAGTCATTACCAGCTCACATCCAACCTACTGTGACGGCCCTGCTTGAGGACGCAACGCTTAACCAGGTAGCCCTCATAGCAGACAAAATTTTAGCGAGGACTAGTAACAGAGGCAGCTATATAGTTGCTTCAACGGCACGTCCTAAAGTAGACATGGACGCTGGTCACACCTCAGCTCATGGCGACAGGGAAGGGTGTATTCACACACGTCTTAGTTTTCGAGACCGTTTTAACATACATCAACCCTACGTCCCCCGAGCTCGCTCAAGTTCTCGCGAACCCGTCACCACCCGCCGAAAAACGGGAATCTTACAAACCACGCCGAAAGGCGGCTTCGGAAGCGAGTGAAAGTTGGTGCTGGTTTCATGGGTCCTTCGGGTCCGGCGCACGCCGTTGTCGAGCACCGTGCTCATGCACGGCGGGAAACTCTAAAGCCGGCGAGTAAAAGCGGCCGTACTCGCCGGCCCTTCACCCCAGGTTGGTCGCTTATTCTATGTGCACGATTACCGCACAAACGCTAGGTTCCTATTAGACACTGGAGCCCAAGTCTGTCGTACCACGGGGTAGCAGCAAGTCACAAGCTACAGCGCTTCGACTACGTGCTGTGAATGGCTCAGTCATTCCTACCTACGGTACACGACAACTCGCAGTCAACCTGGGAAACCGACGGCGGTATCTGTGGACGTTCATCATTGCTGATGTTCCCACAGCCATACTAGGTAACGATTTCTTACAGCACTATGAATTGCTTGTCGATTCACGTAGGCTGCAGCTAATCGATACTTCGCTGAACTGTAGATTCATGGGCTGCAAAGCCCACACGAACGCCAACCGAATCCTCGTCACGTTGTACTCGCGTGACGATAAATTCCACGCTTTATTCGAGGAATTCCCCGTAGTCACTAAACCACTCGAAGAGATTCCATCAGTGACCAATCGTGTGGTACACCACATAGTCACCCGCGGACCGCCAGTCACGGCACGACTTTGCCGACTGGCACCAGACAAATAAGCTTTCGCCAAACGTGAGTTTGGCAATTTACTAGCTACTGGTATTATTCGTTCTTCTCACAGTCCATGGGCCTCTCCTCTTCACATGGTGCGCAATAAAGATGGGGTTAGTTGGATGCCATGAGGCGACAACCGAGCTCTATACGTAGTTACGCGCTTTGATAGCCACCCCATCCCCCACAGACATGACATCACGGCGTCGCACAAGGACACAACTATCTTTTCTAAGATTGATCTGGTACAAGCATATCATCAGATTCTAGTCGCTCTTGAAGATATCGAAAAAACTGCTATCACGACTCCCTGCGGTTTGTTGGAGTTCCTACGAATGCCATTTGGATTACGGAATGCTGCTCAAACTTTTCAAAGGTTTATCGATAGCATTGTACGAGACCTAGATTTCGTTCACGTCTATACTGATGACCTGCTAATAGCACCATCAAACGTAGATGAACATTATCGACATCTTACACCATTATTCCAACGCCCTTCGGATAATGGAATAGTAGTTAACCCGGACAAGTGCGAGTTGTGTAAACAAGAAATAATATTTCTGGGTCACGTTATCGAGCAAGAGGGTATTCTACCTTGTGAGGACAAAGTGCAAGCAATAAAGGAGTACAACGTGCCGTCCTCACTCAAGAAACTGAAGGCGTTTCTCGATTTGGTTAACTTCTACCGTCGTTTCATCGAACACGCAGCAGAACGGTTACAACCACTAACCGACTAACTTCGCAGCAACCCATCCAGATTAGAAATGAACGATTCTGCACGTACTCCATTTACAGAGATCAAGACGGCTCTTGCGCAAGCCACTCTTCTCGCCCGTCCCGATCCATCAGCCACGCTTAGTATAGCGGTTGATGCATCCGATGTCGCTATAGGAGCAATCATGCAACAAAACATCTCCGGTAGTTGGCAACCCCTCGAGTTTTTTCTCACAAAGCCTTACTCCCACGGAGACGAGATATAGCGCTTTTGGTCGCGAGCTGCTAGCATGCTACTGCGCCATCAAACGTTTTCGGCACGCAGTAGAAGGACGTCAATTCATTTTATTTACCGACCATAAGCCCTTAACGTATGCTTTGCATACCAAGTCTGACCGCTACTCACCACGAGAGTGCAGACATTTGGACTATATCTCCCAGCTCACGACAGACCTTCGTCACATCAAAGGCTAGTCGAACTGTGTTGCTGATGCTCTATCACGAATCCAAACGGATGCAATTACTCTGCCGGTGCTCCATTTTCCTTCTATGACCGACGCCCAAGCAAACGATCCTTTTTGTACAAAAGCACCACACTCTACGTCCCTTCAGTATCAGGAAATATCCCTAGTCACGACTTCTGATGCCATCCTATGTGATGTTTCTGCCGGTCCTCCTCGACCCATCGTACCCTCTGCTTATCGCCGTCTCATATTCGATGCTCTGCATGGATTATCTCATCCAGGAATCGCAGATACATTACGATGAAATATTTCACCGCCAACTTAAAAGTGCTCTTCGAGCACACGAAAACGACAACTGGTACGAAACCTTACCGCTCGTCCTCTTAGGCATCAGAACGAGCTTGAAGGCAGGTATCCAATCTTCCGCCGCTGAAATTGCATAAGGCACGACATTGCGTCTACCCGGGGAATTCTTCACACCACGGAGCAGACCTCATTTCAGTAAATCAGACCACACGAATTTCAGCAGAGATCTCTTTTCAACGAATTTGTTATCAAGCTGTACAATCGTATATATATGAAAATTTTGTTTTTGTAGAAGCACTAATTCCGTGCGGAAATGTGAACACAGTTGATAAAAAGGTTATAATACTAAATTACGTAATATGAATAATAACAATAACAATGGATTTGGTGAATATAATAAGATGATTAAAATGTTTTTGTTATGATAATTAAAGGTCATGGAGGTGTAAAAAATAAATAAGGTGGTATGATGAGAATTTACGAATAAAACAATGAGAATATAAGACATAAGTAAAGGGGAGAATGCAGTAATAATAATAATAGGATAATCAAAACAATTAAGGCCAAGGTAACGATAAAGATAAGGCGTACTTCTTTGTACACGCAGTTCTGGAGTTTCATAATTATTCAAACAATTAGTCATTAAAGGTGTTGTCAGTACAAACTATGTAGCTGAAAAGTTTATTTTACCCTAAACTTTGATAATGAAGATTCCACAAATATTTGGAGTTTAACAACGCTTTAACCAGTAACACATTCTAATATGAATCTTACCCACCAAGTGAAATCAAAAGACAGAAGCGAGGAGGTTCGAAGATAGATTTGATAAGCTATAAATATATCGAGGATCGTCTGATCTAATCTGGCTAGCGATTGCAGAGGTTGTTGAGCACGGCGTTCTCACTCGTGATATAGTGTGGATGCATGACCGAGTGCCTTCAGCTAGATGAGTCCACTAAAGCTAATGTGGTCAGCATCCAATGTCGAAAACTTACAGAGCTATTTATTTTTGGGATTTATTTACCGCTACACTAACTCAGTTCAGAACGGCAACGATAGCATCAAAATCAAATCTTCTAGTTAAAATAAATCAAGAAAATCGAGTTTCTGAGTTAGTAATCCCTTTCAGTGATGTTTTTAATCAATTCACAATTGCCTCTTTAGGCCAAATAACATGACTTTATCAACGTTTTTTAATGTGGTCTTGAAGGTCGTTACGTTTTTGAATTTAGGGTCACTAAGCTGGTCCTTGAGGTAGACTGCTTGCCTCTCTACATTTTTGGATATTGAACTATCAAAGTTTAATGGCCATGTACGAACTAGTCAGCGTATTCCTCCTTTGTTACGCTTGGTAATCCACTTCGTACTGTCCATTGTGTAGGTGCAAATACGAGTTTTGGTCACATCACGTGTTGGCTCTTAGTTTTTCGTGTTGACTCGTCGTTGGCTTAGATATATCTCTTAAGCCTAATGTTGATTCCTTTCAAGCTTAAAAAGCAGTAGAGAGGTTGGGTATATTCACTTGAAACCGGGTTCATAGACACGTAGCTAACAGGTCTCATATAAACAATTCTACTGTCTTCCCGTTTGCATTATGCCTTCGACCTTCGCAAACTTGGAACTACATATATAACAATATATTTGTAAGTAATTACACATTGTGATGGTTCAGGATCTCTGATTTCTTCTAAACTTGCTTCGTTATACAAAATAATCACCAAGTTTATCAATCCTTCGGTCTGTACTTTTTAAGATATTTATTCATTTTATAAAGTCTGTATCGTAATACCGTGCTAATGCGTTTAGGCAGCAATACGATGTTAAATTGGCCGATAGCTGAGACTAATTTATAGACGAACCAATCAGAGTTAATATCACCAGTCATGGATTTGGGGACGAAATTTATCCATTCATTTGGCTAAATCTTACTTATGCATTATAGCCGATGTTAATTCGTGATTGCAAACCTGAATCCAGCTCTTAATCCTAACACACGGCTGTAAGTCATTCCTGACTTCTCACACTTGTTTATAACCAAGTAACTGAACATTATCAAGGTCAATGTAGCGTCACTCAAAGTTTGTCCATAAATCAGTCTCACTGAATAGACTATTAGGGTTATTAATTTAGGGTTTAAATCTAGGTTATAGAAGTTAGTGTCGTAAGTATTAAGTTCAGGAGTTAGGGTTAGGGAGTTTTATTCTTAGCAGTTAGAATAAAGCCGATTTTTGAGATGAGAATTTGTAGCTTAGGTGTAGTTTTGTTCTCTGAGCTGGATGGTTTGGTCTTGGAGCTTTTATTGTTCTTCTGAACAAAATCAGCACACAATTCGGGTAGAAGTTCGTTTATCGTGTCAAAACTCTTAATCCTCTGTAATCTCATCATTGTTTTGTATTTTAAAACCATTTCATAAATCTTCATTCTGATCGGCTCTTTTCTGACTAGTTAATGTCTACGTTGCTTAAGGCCGTCTGTATAGTGCGGTTTTGCTGATTCTGCACCAAAGTACACACTAGATTAAACTTGATCTCTGTCTTTCGGTCCTATGACGAGTAACTCGTGATCCCAAACCTGCATCTGTTCATGTAAAAAGATTTCAAAATCCTAATAAAGTAAACCTTATCATAATTTCAAGGCATTAAAACTACCAAAGAAATTTATTAGAGACCTCTATTCTTAATTCGCACTAAATTCTAGATGACTGTGTATAGCATTCAGTACTTAATTAGGAAAAAAACATCAATGAATAAGGGACGGACATTAAAACTTGTCATTAATTCATCTTCAATATGGTTTTATATTCTCATTTTATTTGTGTTGTTTCTTATCGTATTAACCTAAACCAGCTATGACATCAAAAAATGTAGAACTTGCTATCGAAACCTGTTTGGTCAGAGTATAGCATAGAAGTGATTCCCATCAGTTTGATAAAGTAATGGTCAGTCAGTCAGTAACAACGTAGAACTTCTTACGTACTTACATCAGTTCGAGTTGCCACACCACCTTAGCACAGAGATGCAGTTGTCGATTCAAATCCCGTAGTGGTAGAGGTAGCAAGAGTATAAGTAGTAGTCGGGAAGATTAGGGTTTGGAGATGTTATTTAAAGAGTATAATCCAGTGAAATAAATTTGGAAAGAGGAAAAAACGAACATGAAGAATTCAGAAGATTAGAATTTGGGAGAACACAAAGAGTGGATGCACCTGCGCCATTGCGAACGATTTTGAGCCATGTCATTCAGGGTCTCTAACCATCGGTTGCTATCATCTCGTGGTCCCCAACCAGGTAGTCTACACCTACCAACATGACTCAGTCCACTTGTCAGTGACTTCATGGACTTGTGCCATGTTTTGGTTTGGCCTCCTTTAGCTTTCTTCCAACCTACTCCTATACCACTGAACATAGCACGTCGAGGTAGTCGGTCGTTGGGCATACGTAACACGTGCCCCAGCCATCTCAACTGATGAAGTAATAGCAGGTAATATCACTGTATGTCCGGTTATTCTCATCGGTTGTTGTTAATCAGACATGCGGTAAAGTCGAAGTAGCATTTTCGTACTAAATGAAGAGTATTAATTCATTGAAATAAATACATTGATAAATGTGTACATGTTTGTCTAAAAGTAATTTCCAAATAAAATTATGTACAATTACTTCATTTTGTGGTGGTTATTCAGTGTTATGAATTGTCACCCATCAAATTACTTTTCTACAGGTGTTTCAATTCAAGCCATGCTTCCAAATTTACCCATGCGATTAGTAAAGAATCTTGTGAATTTTCCGGCTGTTGTTAGACAATCTATTATTGACTCGTATGAAAAACTAAAATCTACGGACTATCGTGCAATTTATGAAATTTACGATAATCTAACTGGATTGGATCGTGTTAGATCCTTACATGTTGGAGTCGCTGAAGTAAGTCATGTTTTACGATTAAATCTTTCTACCAGCCAGTATTTTTCTGTAGATGAAATATAATGCCCCGATTCTCTTCCATGAATAACGTGGTCACTCAGGCACAACAGTAATATACTTTACCCATGAAACAAGATGTAAATGGGTTCATCAACAAAAAACTGAATTTCGTTTGAAAATTCAAACCACTGATGTACAGACTGCAATTCACTTTGGTTCGCTACTTGAATCGTAAATCAGCTGAGTAGTGGAAGTTTCTCTTCGTACTTTTTTGGTTGATTGTTGTACTGATGAAATACCCTTCTCTCTTTGCTTTATTAAGCTGTTTTTATAAAATGATACCGATTTTTTTTGCATGTTTGTGCTTTTCCTCAAATGTATAAAGCTTATGTTTTGTTATCTTATCCTGATTTGTTCATATTCTTCACCCCATTTATATATAAGCGGGATATTGAATATTTAACGACATTTTCTTAATGCTTTTACTCTTTTCCTTGAAATTATAGGCTGAAAGAAACTTCGTACAGAAACAAATCGAAAGAAGAGCTTGTCAAACGGAAGTGTTTCAGTTAGAAGAAGCTAGAAATCGAATTAACATACAACTAGATAGTGTTAAACGTAGTGATGAAAGTTTTTTGAAATTAGTTACAGAGTTGCATGAGGTAAATAATCATTTTGGTCTCTTATCGTAATTATGTTTTGGTAAAGTGTTATGAATTGCTTGATAAAGTTTGAAAGTTCAACTTCCTTAACTCAGTGTAGAATGATTTAGTATGATCTAGCTAAGATATAGTATTCACCTGTAACTGATAGTTGATCAGATGACCTAGGTGTTTAATCCCACATGGTGCTTTATCAGTCAGTTAATCATATGCAACATTGAACTAGGCTAACATGATCATTTGTTCAGTTTGTCACATCGTATCATCACAGTGAGATAAAATTATCAAAACAAATGCCAGAATAGTAGTAGCCAGTATAAATGGTAGTATAAAACATTAGGAATCGAGGAACATTACCAAGATTTTTCAATCACTTATCTTGTCCACTGCTCAGAGCTTATTTATGTGTCAGCACTTACCAAAACTCCTCCTTCCAGAAGTCAATGGCTATTATGGGGGCTGATACCATGTTTTGGTTTAGTTCCCCTTGGTTTACTTCCAATTTACTCCTACGCCAGCAAACAGCATTTCGAAATAAGCGAATTCGATATTCACTGTACAGATAAGTGTTTACAATATTATCTGATTCACAAGTTTCAAATCCGTCACTTCAGATTACAGTGTCATCCACTTGATACTATGGTTGATTGCATCATAGTATTACTTACAAGTGGCTAGCATATAACTCATCTATAGTTAATACCTATTTTTTGAATTCTATTGTTTCCAACAGACAAACTAGTCAGTCACTCATAATCAACGTACGGCACGACACAAATGTTCGCCAACGCAAGTTCCCATACCACGTTAGCATAACCAGATGTAATGAATACGATAAATAACAAGATCCGAAATAGCAGTGAATTATTAAATACTGGGAATATAGTTAGAAAATAATTGATAAGTTATCCATGAAGGAGTACTAAAGCTAAAGATCTGAAGGAAGATAAAGATCGAATGCATATTCATATGCGCCATTGTGGGGCATGTTACCCAATGTCCCCAACCACTTATCGCGGTTATCGGGTGGACTCTCACTGATTAGTACGGCGTAAACTTCGGTCATTGATTTCATTGACTAGTCCCAAGTCTTGATTTGGCTACCCTTATATTCCTTCAAAATTTCTTTTGAACAACCTATAAATATGACACAAGCCTACAAAGAACAGATGAAATGTGGCTAGTGGTGGAGTCCAGGATACGGACTGCGGCTTATTTGGAACTCTTCAAATGTATATACCTGCCACATCCCAGAGTTGATCAAATTATGAATAATGGGATAATTAAAAAAAACTACATATTAAATCAGAAATTCGTACACATTGCACAAGTGTGTAACCATTCGGATTCAGTGGCTAACTGGATTACGCGTTAGCTCTTGAATCGAAGGATTCTGGGTCTAAACCTCATCAACCTCAGCCCCCAAATGCCCTGGTATGGCCGAGAGTGGGGAGGGCCCGTCCTACCTCTCGAAATGCTCTCACACAGCCACGCGTATACAGCCTTTGCCAGGGAATTCCTACCCACTGCCTTCTCGTGGCGGGGGTGTTGTTTACGAAAATGAGAAGACGAAAAGCGAATGTCCGGCGCTTTAGCCGGATTCCAAACCAATGGTGCACATGGGCTCCAGCATCCTGTGGGAACAAATGGCGTATGAACCAATTATTGGTCACCGGCTACCATAGGACTGTATCTCCTCACGATGCTCCACTGCCTTGTGGGACAGACCTTTGGGTTAAAGGCTTGGGGTGTGGTCCCCTAAAAAACCACCTGCTTCGGTCTGGGCATCCGGTCAGTATCACAGCCTACGCACAAATAGAATGAAATTTGTGTGGCGCATATATATATGGTGCCCCCTTGAACCAATGTTTATGTGTTCAAATAAAATAAATAAATAATAAGAAAATCAACTCCTCTCCACCATCTCAAAATCAATTGAGCTTAACCCGCTTCTCATTGTTCGAAGATAAGGGGATTTCGCCAAAAGTCATACTTCCACTGAGGAACAACTCTATTTTCTTCATGAGCGTCTTCGTCAGCATGTTCTGCCAACAAGTGTAGGATACAGACCACCAATCAACTGCCCAATGGAATGGAGAATAGCTGAGCAAAACAGAAGGCAAGTGGTGCATCTAATTATATCTGATGCACGCTACATGATCCACAAATACCAACACATCATGGATGATCGGAAGAGGATGCCAGATATGATACATCAGAACATTTGAAAATCTTGACAACAGCGATCTAGATATCAAGCAGACGACACAAAGAACAAGGAAGGGACACTTTCAAGGAAAAACTAACGAAGATTTCAAAGCTACCTATAGAAGAATACACAAACAACCTGTCAAAACAACCTCTGATGAACATGGAAGAACACTTCATCCGAAAAGGACTGAACTACAATACAAGTGACGCTTCAAAAATAGGATTTTACGCTGCACTAGAGTCATCACTCAAAAAATCCGGAATAAATGGTCAACGGAAAATAAGACAAACCATAGTACCGCTAACTCAGAGGAAAAATAAAAACATCCAACTGACCGCACAAGAACAAAAAGGCTTAAAAAGTCTCAGAACCAGAGAAGATATTGTCCAGCGGACAAAGGATGGGCTACAATGAATATGGACATGATAGAATATATCAGGAAAGCCGAGGAACTACTTGAGGACAAAAGAGCATATAAATCAGTGGACACAAGTCCAATCAAAAGGTTAGGCAAACGAATTTAAAGGACCTTAAACAAGCTCGTCAAAGCTGAACAAATATCAAACCAAGATCAATGGAGAATGAAATCCAGTGGACCATTACTCTCTCGACTCTACGGTAGGCTACAAATACACAAACCAAACATCCCACTACGTCCATTTCTATCACTCCTCAGAACCCCAACATACAATTTATCCAAATAAATTCCAAAAATATTGAAAAATCTAGTGGATTCATCCAATCACTCCATAAAATATCCCATACATTTCTCGAACAATGTTGAGGAGATTCAGATCAACAACGACGAACTGATAACATCCTTTGGTGTAACAGCCTTATTCACCTCAACTGAATCAAGCTTAACAAAGGAAACTATTCCGTGCGGAAATGTGAACACAGTTGATAAAAAGGTTATAATACTAAATTACGTAATATGAATAATAACAATAACAATGGATTTGGTGAATATAATAAGATGATTAAAATGTTTTTGTTATGATAATTAAAGGTCATGGAGGTGTAAAAAATAAATAAGGTGGTATGATGAGAATTTACGAATAAAACAATGAGAATATAAGACATAAGTAAAGGGGAGAATGCAGTAATAATAATAATAATAATAATAATAAATAGGATAATCAAAACAATTAAGGCCAAGGTAACGATAACGATAAGACGTACTTCTTTTGTACGCATAATTCTGATTTAAGCTCCTGGATGGTAAGAGCTTCGGCTATTTTTAAGAGTTGGATACGAAGAAATCTGGATAGATTTGAACGAATCATATAAACAACCTTAAAGTCAATTTGTGGATCTGTAGAATGGTTATAGTCGATTAGGTGTTCAAGTATAGAACTCCTAACTGCTTTCCTTTCACCAAGCTGGGATATGTTCCCGTATCCGAGTTGAAAGCGAGCGCTGGCTACGGCTAATGTACCTTGCTCCAAAAAATTCGTATATATGATTGTACAGCTTGATAATAAATTCATTGAAAAGAGATCCCTTCGCTGAACTTTGTGTTATAATTTTAATGTTTAAATGGGAGTTATCTGTCAATTGAAGAAAACTATTCCTCCTCTTCACCAATGACACAAAGTACATGAAGCGTCAAAGTCAAAGCTTACTAAAACTCATCCATTTATGCTTAACAACTATTTCAATTCAACAACAAAATCCACGAACAAACGAGAGGAGCACCAGTGGGACTACCAATATCAAGACTTATTACAGAAGCAATGCAGATACTGGAAGCCTCGGTCTTACCAGTTATCAAGCCAAAAATGCGGATCCGTTATGTGGACGATACATTCGTCACCTTCAAAAAGGATGTGCTGGAAAGCACCTACAATCCGACCAACAATGCCTTCGATAACATAAAGTTGACAATGGAAAAGAAGTCCAACAACAAACTATCATTCTTGGATGTATTAATCACCAGAACCGACACAGGAAAACTGGGGACTCAAGTATATCGGAATCCGACCTGCACAGACCAGATTCCCGATTGCGGTAGCAACAACCCAAGAACTCACAAAATCATTTGCATCAATAATAACCACTCAGGATCGAGGTCGATAGTACAAACTGTGAGGTATATGTGGAGAAATTTTGGAACATTTCACTACTGCCTGGAGTTTACGTTGATGATGTTGTTCAGAAGAACAATGAAAGCTAAACAACCAAACCATGCAGCTGACTAATCCTAAATAAGGTGAAACCTACATCCTAGATTCCTTTGCTAGCTACATCCCATCTATTCTATACAAGTGTTAGATAATTTTGAAGTATTGAAGTATAACGTTTGCAGTTTGCCAAACTACATCTCAGTCAGTCAGCTACAGTGGTCTTGAGTGCTGTTAGAGGTATGAGGGCGGTTATCACTTCCCGGTTGCCCACACCGTGGAAGGGTTCTTCTGGAGGTACCTGAAAAGGAAATCGGATTAGAAGTGGTCTTAGTGACCTGGGAGCGTGACCGCAGTTCCCAAGAGACAACTGCTTGAGGTCGGTCACACACGACCTTTTAATGGGTGATTTTTGTGTTAGCTCCGTACTTGTTGAGACCTTACCGCCGGAGACGGATATCCGTGGGATAAGGCGAGGTGTGCATTTTTAGGGTCGACCTTTTCTACCCCACCCCTCCTTGTGGGAAGGCAGCATCGCTGTCATGCTGGTTGTCTGAAGGAAACACCTTACTGCTGTCACACCTCTGTACAGTCAGCAGTACGACTTCGCCTTCGAACCTTGGGTTTGTTGCTTTTAGTCTTACCGCTCTTCAACCGATTTTTCTGACGTGGTAGAACCTTGAGGAACAGTTGTTCCAGTCAGTATAGCTCGGTTACTTCATCACGATAGGCAAGCCCGACCACTACGTCAAGGTAGAGACAACGGTCGGGCAAACTACATCTACTCAGGGAGATAAAATTATTTAAATAAATGTCAGAGTATTAGAAGTAGTGATATTATTAACGGTAGTAGGAGAATGGATGAATGTGTTGACTAAAGAAAATTATAACATAATTTTCAAACTTAAGATCACAGTAAAGAGGAAAGATGAATATATCTATGCTATTTCAACCGATTCTTCGTTATGTCATTATTCATAGCATAAAACCCCAACTAGATAGTCTGTATAAATCTATACGCCTCAATCTAACAGTCAGCGTTTTAATGGACTGATGTCATGTTTCGGTTCGACTGTCTCTAGCTTTCTTCCAACCTAACATATCCAGGCAGTTGATAGTTGAGCATATCTAATATGTATTTCAACCATTTTATTCGATAAAGATTCACCATCTCATCATTCAAATCAATTATTGTATTGAATGTTATTTCATTTTCTGACTAAAATGTATACCTATTTATGATTCTCTCATAATTTAAGAGATAAGTGAAGTGTGTCTTTTTCTTCTTCATATATAATAAATTGTAGCTTTCACGTCAACATCAACAAGCTCGTGATAAGTTAACATCTATTGAATTAGCTGAACAAGTAACATTTGAACAATTCTCTAGTATTCTACGTCATTCACAAGCTGAAGAACGCATTCAAGCTAGCCGAATGCGACAATGGACTGTTGGATTTAGTTTAGCTGCTGGTTTGATTGGTTTTAGCGCTACATGGATACGTTTTCGTCAACTTGATAAGCAAAATGCATCATCACTTCGCTTAACTTCTGCTACTGGTCAGGTATGTTTATTTTACCTAGTTTATGCAGAATCGGTCAAGTTTTAGTGTGTGAGGTTGAGCGATTTTTTTTATAATGACTTTATGGTTTTGAAGTCATTCTTGTCTTAGCTAATCGGCAGAAAGACTGTATCAATCAAATGTATTTCGTAACAGAACTAAGAACAATCTGTCAGAATCCAATGATTTTAAGATTACTGGTTTTCCAAGTCCTATTATTGGTTTTTTTATTTCAATGTTGTAGAACTATCACTATATAACACTATAGGTCTGGGTAAGAGTTTATTCACAGAAAACGTTTCTCTTTAAGTCTTTCTCGTAGCTTTAAATAGTCATTACTCGCAAAATCTGATTTAATTAATTCGTTGAGGATTTACTAATGTAAAGTTACAAACAGACTATCACTATGGCCATTATGAACACGAAGTTGTATGAAAAAAATCGCCCTCCTTCGTCATTGCTACTTTACCAGGTCGTCTGCTATTCCAGTGAGAGATTACTTATTTACGCCTGTTACCCCTTCTGGAGGAGCATAGGCTGCCCACCAGCACTCTCCATCCAACCCTGTCCTGAGCAATACTTTCCAGTTATTATTCATCCTTTTCATGTCTGCTTCCAATCTCCGACGCAATGTATTCCTTGGTCTCCTTCTTTTGCGTTTCTCTTCAGGATTCCAAGTTAGTACTTGCTTCGTGGTGCAGTTCGGTGGTCTCCAGAATGTGTCCTATCCATTTTCATCGTCTTTTCCTAATTTTTGGAATCTGGTTTGTTCTTTCCCACAGTAGGCTGTTGGTGGTGGTATCCGACCAACCAACAATTATAAATATATCTCGTATTTTTTTTATAGTGAAGCATAAAAATAATCCATCTTTAAATTTCCCACCAAAACCAGTCTCCTTGTTTCTGATTGGCTAATATTATCAGTATAGGGTTGTGGAGATCGTTGAATTTTATCGATGTCACTAACCGATATAAGTTAGACAACCATCGTCCTAGTATGGCACTTTAGCAGGTCACAGTGAACGTAATGAGAGGCCGTCCAGTGCTTCCAGATTTTCGATTGTTGTCTAACTTAAATTAGTTCGTGATATCAATGAGCTTCGACAATTCCCACAACCCTATATTGATAATCATCATGTGTTCACCAGTGGATAGCTTCGAGAGAAAATTCCCTGAGATCTAATGACAAGCCGTGACGAGTGGAGTTCAACCGTATCAACTGTGAGGAAGTTACTTACCAAAGATGGTCGTTCAATGTCACTAAGTGATTGAAATTAAATTTTTACATCGTTGGAGGTCAGGGTTTCGAGCGCGAGGCCGAAGGTTTTGGGTCAGATGCCCGGTTCTGGGGTCGTGGATGTGCAGTGATGAAGAGTCCCATACTGAAAGGAAACGGCCATCTAGTGCTCCTAGTTTTTCAATGATTGTCTATCTTACATCGGTTCATGGTATTAATAAAAGATTGTGATTAAAATCACAGTAATGCTTCTCATGTATTAATACCTGTATAAACAGAAGTTGATAACTTGGTAAACCTTCCTAGTGTCTTTTTATGTCTACCTATGGTAATAATTCCATTTATCGTCAATATGCACCAATTAGGAATTTATTCTTGTGACTTCTATAGTGGAGATTTTATTTTTTGTTGTCTTTTGTTTGTCTCCTCTTAGCCAACTACTGAGTACTCCTTCCAAGATATAACTTCCAGTCTTCACTCATCCAATCAGGTAGGTTGCATTAATTTTTGTTTGTCGAAGGTAACTTTGATATTTTATAAAATTTGCATCTAACTTGAGGTTTAGTAGCTGATGGATATGAAGAGCATGTTAAAGTAGTTTCAAGTGGTTGACAAGAAACTTTGTCACTTGGATTAATGGTTAATACATTGCAACGTAATCAATAAAATTCAATTTGCCCTAAAGGATTGGATAGACATGACATCAGTCACTCTCTTCAGTTGATATTAGATTATGATGATGATGTACCGAAAGGTTCTAGTTGTACTTTATACTTGTACTCACATGATACCTCACTATCAAATGATAAACGACCAATTATAAACATGGCGCATTGTTGTAGGACATTGATTGTGCACTCAACATAAGATCTCAGCTTCCATGTCCTTTTTGGAGTTAGAAGGACAATTCGTATATATATATATATTAATGATTTGTGTACTTGACTGCTCAATTTTACCAATTACATCTTCCAAGTTATTCCTCAGTTTTCTCAACTGGATTTCTGGTTAAGCAAGCGTATAAGAAGCCTGGATGTTGCAACCGATTGTCGTGGATTGAGTGTAACAGATAAAAACCAAACTTCTTCTAATGTGACAATCTACATTTTCTCTACATCCTATCGATTGACAAGTCTTATGTAATTCCTAAGTTATGTTCATGTAGTTCAATACAATACAATATAAAGTCTCACCTCGGATTGTGACATAAGCTGGCATTCTCTATTTGAGAATACCATGATAGCTTCGGTAATGCACGGAGTCCTATATTTTTTAATCACTACCCATAGGTTTATCTGAGTAACTGATATTAATTCATGATATAATCTCTCCCTTACAAAATCAGTTGTCTATTTACTCATTACTTTACGATTATATATAATTCTTATTCTACATGCATAGAAGTATGTGATCTGTTTACATTGTAGAAATTAAAAACAACATTGGATGACTTAAATCAAATAAGAAATAATTTGAACGATGTAAGTCCTTGTTGCTAACTTATTTTTTTTATATCATTTTAAAAAGTTGCGTCGATCGTGTATACGTTTGATTTTCTTTAATCTTTCTCCCACAAATTTACAACTGAATTTTAACTTATTCATCCATTTAATGAAGCATTGGGTCATTGGTTGTCGTGTTCAACCTTTAATCGTTAAGTTTGTAGTCTGAAACCGCTCCACCTAATTCGGTGCAGTCAACTGAGTAGTAGTAGTGTGGTGTATGCTACTTATATCTGTCAGCATAAGTGGTATGTAACATCAATCGAAAGTGGAAGACCTAGCAACAGAAGGCTAAGAAGATCGAGTTGAAGAGAATAAAAGGGAAAATAAAAAGGAATTGTGAACTGGAAGAATCATACTGAATATGAAAGACAAATGATGGAAATTTGCGAGTGAAGTATATGATTCCTATATGTTACTAAGAGAGTCTGTAATTTCGTATTTAAATACATCACTTGTCCCCACCTGTGTTATCGTTCATTATAGTAGTAGTATAGTGGACGCTACTCACAAAACTGCTTATAAGTAGCATGCAGTGGAGGGCTGCGTAGGAGTTGCTGCAATCGACAGTCGGAGATAGGAGTTTCAGAAGGCCTAAAGGGCGGCGAATTCGGAATAACTGTGAGACCAGAAGTGAAGCTATAGAAGATAGTCCACAACCAGCTTTGGTTGTGGAATACATTGAAGACTAGATGTATGTATTTCATAAACAGTCAGTGTTCCCTCTAAATAAATGTGTGTGCCTTAAAGCCAAGTACACGATGTTAAACATTTGACCACTTATCCAGGATTAAATAGATACAAAAAACAATACTGTATATGGTGCACAAAAAAGGAGTCTATGAATGCAATTCTGCTGTAAAATGTACACCTTTCTGACAAGCACTAACTGGCACAACATTTAAATCTAGTGGTTCTTAATAATAATTGGTTCAAATCATCTATAGCCATACAAAATGTACATTGGGATTCCTCTCCATCTTCATTGGATTAAAGAGCCGATTAATATGATTGGCTTTAGCATAATGTTGCCTATAGTTCAGATAGAATGATAGCTTAGTGGTTAAGCCATTCAACTTTCAGCCAATAAATCGTATATTTGAACTCTTTTCCACTTACTTCCATTTAACAACTGGTTAGTATCATCAGCTCTCACATTTTGAATGAAACCTAAAGCCAAATACATAAATCTGTACCTGGTAAATTAGTTAATAGTTCAATGCATAAAGTTGTATCTGATAAATGAGTTACATTGTTCTTATGTTAAATAACTAATAGACTGATAATTATACTTAAGGTTGAATAAAAGAATTTAATTGAAAAATAAGAATTAGACAATATGAAATTAACTAATACAAACTAATCAAATAGCATTAGATGGTTGACGACCAATCTGTTATAAATCCCGCTCAATCTAGGTGTTGTGTTATAGCTAACAATTGACAACAAGACGTAATTGTGTAATTTTCTGAATGAATTGATGTTCTCTTTTGAGATTCTAGTAGTGTAACAGCATATATATTTTTTTCCTGAAAATTCCAGATCACAAATTTCATATAATGAGCTCTGTAATTTTTGAATTAAAATAGAGCACTCTTCCTATTTACTATTGATTTTTGAACTAACCTGAAGATGATCTTTTTGAAGTATCGATTTTTCGGTTTTTCAAGTTAATGACTAGCCATTATTATTATTATTATTATTATTATTATTATTATTATTATTATTAGTAGTAGTAGTAGTAGTAGTAGTAGTAGTAGTAGTAGTAGCATCATTAGTATTAGTACTAGAATCGTCTGTTATCCTCTTTTCAATCATTAGTTGATCAAAACACTGAAAGAAAATTTGAACGTGATAAATATGAATATTACAAAGGTAAATTGGTCTTTACTCTTGTTTTTGTATAAAATTTGTTTGTTTGTTTATATATTTTCAATTTTAGGTATTTCTCTGCTTTAACTATCATTTTCATCATATTTATTGTGATAACATTTAAAAAGGTTATAAAGAATTGAAGAATATTGATTAGTTAATTGTAAAGTAGTGAGTGATTAGAGGTAATTGAGAAGAAATTCTGTTTAACCTGGGTTTTGTGTTAATTGGAACTCATCAACAATATGTGTCTGTTGTAATTTTGAGCAAGTTGATTATTCCTTTAGGTATTTTTCCCCGTATCATCCAACTTCACAGTCAGAGATGTTATCGTCGAGCTGTTCGGTTCGCGACTGGTCTGTAGGGCTAAGACGTATTTATATGACATTGATTATTACTCAGAGATCAATCATTTGGAAATATCTCAGTTCTACCACCTTACGTCTTAACATAATGAATGCGATATTAATTCCCTAGACTAATGGACACATTGAAACTTGATCGATGGAATTCGATCTGCATTAAGAAGGGTTTACACACGTAATATTGATCACTATCCAATGATCGATCAGTTGTAAATACTTTAGTAAAGTATTGTTGCATCCCAAGGTATAGGGATGAATTTGAGCAAATTTAGAAGTAGTATTGAGTAGTTTTAACCAGATTTATCTGGACTGCATGTGATATAAGTCGATAAGTTATTACAGGAAATGAAAGAAAAATTATAATGTATATACACCTTTTACCATGATTTATAGATTTATTAAGGTTTGTCTATACTACTTCAGCTGGTTGTACTCCTTGGAAATATTATGATGTCCAATATAGTCCTTCAATCTTGACAACATCAACTTAGCGTTACTTGGACAGTTCACGAATTGATTCTTATGGATGACACCTTATGATTACAAATGAATCTTCGAAGACATCTGTATGCTTCCCTAATTGTCAGTATAAATCGTAGTTCCTCGTTTTACGTAATTTCTAGTGATAGGTATCACGATGAAATTCATTTTAGCGTATTAAAAGTGATCTTTCTGTAGAGTTCTGCTGCGAACTATGAAAATCTGCAAGTTAGATTGAACACAATACTACTCATCTATTCTATCAGTGGACTTCTTCCTTCTTTACATCTCACTTTCCGGATAACAGTTTCGTCTATTTGAACCATTCGACCGACATTTTCAAGCTGTAGTTTTAGAATTGACATCATTTCAAAGTGAATGTCTAATAAATTGTTGTCATTGCACTCTTGATACTCCAGTGATCCTCTGGTATCTTCATTATTCAATGAATAATTAGTACATGATCTGTCTGCATTGGTACTGCTTTCTTTATCCAATATACAGTACAGCACTATACTACTTCATCCCATGAGGCTGTGCTTTTTTGTAATTATTCAGTTTTCATAACCAGAAGTAGTGATAGTTCTGATTAGTCTAAAATCTTGCGAATACTGAATAATAGAATTATTGAAAAAGTGATTATTTTAGTTTCAAATACACACGGCCTCTAAAACATGATTGGTTCATCGGCCAAATATAGTTTCTTCAATTTGTTAAGCTTAGTTTTCATCAACAATTTTGGTAGGACTTACGTTTTGTTTTATCCAAACTATTTTTTTAACTAGACACTAGAATATCTCCTTATCTTTCCATTTTACTATGGCTCAATTCAATCTCGTCTAGAAGTTCGTGTTATCCTTTACCTATAAGAACAGGCCCCCAAATATCGAAGGTGGGGAGATTCAGCTCGCTCGCTCGCTCTCGAAATGCTCTCATATAAAAAGTTGTTGTTTACAAAATTGAGAGTAAGAAAAGCGGATGTACCGTACCTAAACTGTGTTGGTGGTTACGGAGGGTCCACCTAAGGGAGTTGGGAAACTCCAACACATGGGCTCCAAAATCCTGAGGAAATAAATAAGGTATAAACTTATTCTTGGCTACTGGTTACCATGGGACTGGGTCTCCTAACTTTGCTGCACTGCCTTGTGAATTAAACCTCTTAACTTAAAGCTCGCGGAGTGGTTCTTTAAGAAGACCACCTGTTTCAATTTTTGCACCGGAACAATAATATATCCCATAGGAAATTTTTTGTGGTGCATATATATGTTAGTCCCTCTTTGTACCAATGTTTATGTGTTTGAAATAAATAAATAAATCATAAAAAATATACGAATAGCGTAGCGATTAGACGACAGTTGATAGCTATAAGAAGAACGTTCTCTGTAGCAAAGCTGTGATTAGCATTCATTGATAGAAATTCGTTTTGCATATTTGTTAGATATAAGCTCTTTCTCCTGGTCATTCTTTTTGTGCTAACAGTTGACTGTTATTACTGAATTCATCACATGAGATGTGATTTTTTCCTTAAACATACGTTAATTATTATTATTTATCATAGGGAATCATGAATGGATTCAATAATTCATTCACATCCAGATATTCCAACATGTCAATATATATATATATATATATATATATATATATATATATATATATATATATATATATATATATATATAGTCTTCCAGTTGTAATCGACCTCGGGTGTGTTATTCCATTGAATCTAACTGTTGTAACGTGTGGGACTGCAGATTTGAGTAAGCAGCGTTTTATCGGTCGACCACAGTAACACGGAAAACACGTACGGACGACCTAGTGCCCTGATTGGCCCTGGTTCGCTGTCTGTCCTAGCCAGTTGAGTCAAGAACACAAGTCACAGCCTCTGAGTTATGAATCATTGTATTTCAGACACACTCTATTTATATACTAACCAAACAAACCACACCGTACCATAAAATAGAAAACAACATTTACACAATATTTAACAAGTGAAACAAACATCGACCAATGGGAAATGTCCATTCGACTTAACACGATAATTATTGGTATATTATTCTGCATCCATAACACTAACAATTTCACATGTTTCTGATATTCTGTCAATATGTAATCTGATAAATTATGTTTTACTAATTAGACCACTATAATGAAGTTTTATATACTTCACTTTATTAAAAGGGTTTATATTTCATTTATTGTTGTCTCTTTTCATTTCTTAGTCATCTGATGTTAAGGATGGTCAATTACCTGTTGGCAATATGATTGCAGAAATTCCTAGTATTGATGAAACAAAATATATGTATTATGCTTATGGAACTGGTATATTACTTTTGTCTACTTTCATATTATTCTTAATTAATAGATAAAATTGATATGGATATGGATACTTTTTCTTGAACTACCTAGAAAGGGAAATAGATTAGTAGATAGTAGTGATGTTGGTGACCTGGAAACGTGATTTCGGAGCTCAACGGACAATTATTTGAAGTTGGTCATACATAACGTTTTTCTGAGTAGTATTTATTGTGTTAGCTGCGTGCTTTAAAGGTCTTGATCACTTATTCACTCTCCTCCAAATGTTAGACCACTATCATACTTATTGCAGATCAACAGTCTTCATGTCTCTTGATATTAAGGTTGTCTCTGATTTGTTGGGTAGACACATGATTTGAGATTGTCTTCTAGGGAAGGATTTTTCTGTGAAGTTTATTAATATCTTGGAAGCTCCATAGACAAATACCCCAGGTAGAGTGAGGGTATGCAACCACCTTTCTGCATTACAGGATTAACTGTAAAATGACTTTCCTACCTTCTGTATGCTAATAAGATTGTCTTATTGTGCGATGACACGGAACTAATTCAAACCTCAGTTTTTCAATTGGTACTTGGTGTTTATGAATATAGCATGTGTCTTACACCTTCCAAATCCGAAATACTTATTCATGATTAGTAGGAAGCTGAGTGCTGGTGTTGGCGTATCATGAGATCAATCTATGCATAGTGAAAGCCAGAATGGCTTGTGACGATCTGAACCTTCTTCCGCTCTGTTATAATGTTAGTCTGCCTATAAGGGCTCGGGTTTACGCGTCGGTGCGAGCTGTACTACTGTAAGCTTGTAGAACCTGGTCTCTACCAGCCGAGGATGTCCGGCGATTCTCTGTGTTCGACCGTCGTAGGGATGGAAGGACTTCTGATGTCCAGTGGCAACGGAATGTCAGTTTGCCAATTTGTGTTCGGGTACAGTAATGACAATTAAATCAGTGTCATCACCTTGAAATACTGGCCTCAGTGGTTTTGATTTGTTTTATGAATATCATCCTGATGTCCACCATATGTAACATTATTTGCTGATATTGAGCGCGGAAAGCGGAGGAGTGGTAATTTCATAACAGCCTAGTTGTATATGATTGGCATCTGTCGGTCCATCACAACTCCCTATTCGGTGTCCGAGACATGAATCAGCTTCAATGGCTTGAAATATTATCAGACATGGCTCAGAATAGAAACCAATGACAGTTGTCTTGTTGCGTTTTTCTACGTTTTTCATAAAAATGGGATGAAGTACCGTAACCAAGAGACGTTTCTCTTGGTTTTGTTTTTGTCTGAAGTATATCTATTATATAGTATTTTCGTTCACGTGGTTGCTTATTTTTGTTTGTACTCCTGTTCCCGCATTTATCTCCTTGCTTATGTTGCTTATACCCATCTTTTTCTGTCCAGTTGTACTACACTGTCTGTATTAAATAGGTGAATTAAGTGACTTACTTCCAGTTAAGGAAATCCGTGGGGTAAGGTGAGGTGTACTATGTCAAGGGCTGAGGTTTTATTCCCTTTTCCTACTGTTTTGAGAAGACAGCACATCTACAGATTCTGTTAATCCGATGGATCCAATTTTTGTCGTCTCATTTCTGCATAGTCGTCAGCTTGACTTTGCCCTCGGATTTCATGGTTTCGTTCTGATGGCTTTCTAGCCAACTTGCTAAACATGATAGGACCTAGGGGAATAAATATTCCATTCAAAATAACTCGATTGAGCCATCGCCACGGGTAAGCTTATTCACCACATTAATTCACGGGTTACGATTGGGAAAACAGCATGAACGTCTGTAGACCAACCGGTTATTTGAAGTTTACTTATATGTTAACCTGGAAGAAACTTATTTGATCGTTATTAAATTTTAGATGTTTAATAAATTAGAAAGTTAATAAAATACATTTTGGTATAATCTGTAAGGTGATTAACAGCTCAGTTTATTTTTAGACACGAAATTTCCTAATAAAACAAACAAAATATCTGGAAATGCTTTGACGACAAACCATTTTTGAACGTTACATTTCACTAGGTATCATTACAAAGGTTTGACTTGTTGCATTTAACTTTCTACGCATTGTTGTATTGTGACTAACAGTAGCAACCAAAACGTGACGTTCATATTGTTTTTAAGACTTCAAATGAATTTGCCTGTACCCCGATGTTGATGTTCACATCGAGACTTGTACGAGGAAATTCAAACGCTTACGTATTATTGCCGCCGATTTTCAGAATCATAGATATTTGGATGTTTGCCTAGTTTGACTACTTTTAAATAAATAAGTAGCCAAACGTTTTTGTACAAATTAAGTTTGAGCGATTGGTAGTCCTGAATACAAATATCCAAATTATCAAGATGCAAAATCCACCACTTCTAACGCATAATATTGTCAAATTCATTAATGTATGCCTTGTTCTGACCTTTGTAAAATATCACAGTAATTATGGAGCCTGGTAATGAAGTTGTTGAAAACAATTGTTTGCTCAAATATTCTTTGTTTTCAGATTAGTAAGAACACATCCACGTAGTATTTACCTTAAACAGTGCATCTTTCTTTGACTATCTACACACTATGATCCATTGACATTCAAAATATTATGCGAGTGTATTCAAGGATTTGTTGGGAGATATACTTTATCGGATTCCGAAATTTCAGAATTGGCTACATATGTCTTAACTCTATTAGGCACTGACTAATCTCATTAATTAGAGATTGAAAGTTTTGATATCTGTCACATAGTAGATATTCAGTCTATTTACAGAACAGTATCTATATTATAGATGTTATGGAGAAAAACGTTACGTATATTTTAAACAATAAAGATAGCAAACGACTTGCTGAGTGTTACATTTGAAAATTAAACCTCTAGCAATAAACTGATTTGTCCCCCTTTTTGAAAAATCCGTTCTCATAACATTTTATTTCCAAGTTGACTAGTTGTTGAGATTTATTTTCATAATGTGTTGACTTTCTCATTCCCTATTTTTTGTAGTACTCATTAGCAAGATATATTTGTACACCTGTGGAAACTGATTGTCATTACATTTATGTCACAGGAGCACCAAAATGGTTTGTCGACACGTGCTGGCTAGCATAAAAGTCATCTACGGCTTCCTGATGCTTGCTTCTAACCAATTAGCACCAAAATATTGATTCACTCAGGTTAGTGACTATATTGCAACTAGAGTCAGTGAGCCATAATGTAGGACAAGGCACATATGCATCGGCCAAGCTGCCATACCTCATTAGCACAACAAGATGAACACCAAATTCATAGCAGCACTTACTTCAGTGGTAGTAATATATAAAAAAAGGTTGCACGTAAAGATGTTATACAGGGAGGAATTAGTTCGTTGATGGTAAGGTATGATGTAATTTTCATCTCACTGTTTAAGGGAAGACAAAGAGTGTATACACCTACGCCATTATGATCGATTCTGAGCCATGTCACCCAGAGTCTCCAACCGCTGGTTACGATAGTCCTGCGAACCTCAACTAATTAGTATGCATCTACCAACATGGATCAGACCAGAAGTTTGTGATTTTATGGATTGATGCCACGTTTTGTTTTGGCCATCCTCAGCTTTCTTCTATCCGTCTCCAAGACTAATCAGCATTGCACACCGTGGTAGGCATGCGTAATATGTGACCAAATAATCCCAGTCGATATAGATTCACAACCTCATCAACTGATTTACCATCATTCCCTAACACCCCGCGTCTATGTTTACTGTTACTTACCGATGATCCCAGAAGATGTGGGCAATATTTCTAAGACATCTGTTATCAAATACTAGTAGCTTACGAGTATTATCTACAAATAAAGTGGAAAAATCCTACCAGTAGAAAAATCAGAGAACAATGTTCATAAAGCTTTTACATTAATAATGTTCCTATGGTCACTGGTAAGTCATTTCGTAAAGTGATTCTTGGAATTCAGCTATGTTGGGTTTGAAGCCCAAATAATTGCACAATTTAACCAATTAACTTAAATTAGTAATATAAACCATCGGATCTCGACTCAGTTGTCTAATAGTCGGGCACACGCCACAAAACCTTCAGGATCTGCGTTCTATTTCCGATAGGGTCATGGATACACAAACTGTGATTAAATAGCTGTTAAGTACTTCTTAATTTTCATTAGCTTTCTGACTAAAATAAGCTCTTGATGTAAATCATAAACTTTGATAATCACATACCCTTTACTTTTATAATAAGACGTTGGTAAGTACTAAGTGGTCAGTGGATGTACATCACAAGACTGTAGTGTTCCTTATTTTCTCCAATCTACACAAAATGTTAAAATATCTTATATACTTATTTTTAAGACTCATTAGAAATTTTCGTTATTATTCTCTGGTGTGAACAGAGAAACAAGAAGCCTTGACAAACTACGGAAGCTTTTTTTCGGGACGTTATTACATTTTATGCAAAGCTCGTAAAACAGTGACATTTAGTTTTGCCCCTAGTCTATTTTGCAAATCCTAAGCTCTCGTTAGATGTATGATTCACTGCCATAGCCTTTTTTGTCTCAAAGCTATTGTACTTTAAACGTATTATTTTGTACTCTATTTTCTACGCCAATCTCCAGTTTTGGACATAATTGTATTTTCCTAATTATTGTACGTTATAGTCGGGTTAGTCATCTATTTATTTATGGACCCTTTTCCACTAATCTGAAATCGGAGGATCGGGAACCAGATCGGAATTGAGAATAAATCGAGTAGTGTTCCAGTTGACTTGTTCTCTCTCACTAGCATACTTCTCAGCCAATCAGGTGATAAAATAGTTTTCTTCTTTCTACCCCACTTCAAACTCACGCGTTCTAGCCTCATTGTTAAGCCGGTCAGCCTATCGAGTCAATGTCTTAATCCAGATTAGACAAGTTATCCTCAGCACTAAAAGTGGGTAGACAGATCAAGGACGTAACATTCTCCTTGCACAATCAAATAATATTATCCCCAATTTTCATAGTAATAACGTTCAGTAAGGATGTTGTATACAGTTCGCATATAAAAAAGAAACCGAAAGGACGTTTAGTAAAAGTTACATATTTTTTTCTTTAAAAAAGAAAACGAAACAAAACAAACAGTGCTCCTAAACTTGAAGAAAGATCAACACAAATAAAATCCCAAATCAAAGTTTATCATTCTTTTCTCAAATGTAAAATATTACAAATGACATTTTTGCAATTTAGATTACAATGTATGGTTTCCTTTGTTTAACCGATATTCCAACTAAACAGAACCTTATAAAGATTACCTTATGTTATTCCTTAAGTTCGTATTCTTTCCTCTCTTTTTTTCTCCTTCTTTTGAAAGAAAGTAAAGTCATAACAAATTTAGTGCAAACGAGATAGATTTGTGCATGTGTTTGTGTGTGTGTGTGTGCACCTATGTGTAAATGTGTGTATATGTATACAAAATGTCCCTATGTACGTGTATCTATGTATTGGTGTAGAATATTTCTCATTAATTTGATTATATAAATAATTATCAAAATTAGTGCACAACCATTAATTAGGAAAACTATTCTGTTCTGTTCTGTTTGTTTGCTTGTTCTTGTAAATACTCATTAAAGATTTGTGTTTTAAAATGTACTCCTTAAAAGTTCAATATATATTACAACTGTATATTAGCTACTTCCTTATAAATATTTAAGTAATATGTATATATCATGTACAATTTATAAAATGAGCATAATCATGTACTATAACAAACTTTACTGTGTCATTTTAAAGTATACACTGAATTGATGATGTTAGTTTCTTTGTCATTTATGTACATGTTAGTTAAATGTATGAGTAATAATAGCTGAAGATTAATGAAATATAAGTATAAACTGATGAGCAGATTTATATTTTTCATTCTAACAGAATTAATAATTCGTTTTTCTGTTATATTGTCATTCTAAAAAGATTAAAACAAACAAACAAAAAATGGTCAGTATAGAAGAATTCTCGGAGTTCTAGTGAGAAGCCATGACCAGTGGAGCTAATCCTTGTCGGTTAGAGATAGGTATGTACCTCAGTACAATGAAAGATGGTCGCGCAATTTCGTGGATTGGTTGATGTTAGTCACTAACATCTTTGGATACTGGCTCAGTAGGTTAAGCGTTCGCATGCGGGACTGAAGGCCTTGGGTTCGAATCCCGCGAGCGGGATCGTGAATGAGCACTGCCGAGGAGTCCCACAATAGGACGAAACAGTCGTCCAGTACTTCCAGGTTTCCAACGGTGGTCTGACATCAATCGGTTCATGATCTCATTCAAAAACAAAAAAGTCACATTGAAAAGAATCAAGAAAACAAAGTTCTTTTATTCTTATGAAGTGTATAGTTAATCAATACCTATTTGATGTCTATCTGAAAAAGGATTCAAATCAATTGATTATTCGATCCTTGAACACATCATCAAATTTAAACACTTATCAACAATTAATTCCAAAAAAAAGATTAAAACTTCACCCCATTACACAAGCTGACGAGTTTTAAAATCGAGCAAAATGCACATGTTGGATTTCATTACTAACCATCATACATCTTTACTTAGAATGCTTGTGACTTCAGCCAATCCATACAGGATGCATATATGCTAATATGAAAGTGATCAATGACAGTTGTAAACATCAATGGGAATATTGAAATAACTAATTTAAAAATGAACTAAACACTTAATGTTAGTGGAATCATTAATAAAGATTAACTACAAAGGCAAAAGAGCTAACTTCACAAAGTTTAGGATGATAAATATTTACATAATTGAATCTATGACTGCATTAATTTTAAATATGATCTTTGTATAGAAAAACGACATGTTCAGTCTCTATATTAATCCGTGGTTTTAACATCCATCCGTAGTGACCTACTTTTATCAAGAGAACGCGATTGGTTTAATGGAAACTATTATTATAACCAATTATACCAGTGATTGTTTTACTGTACCTTGTTTGTTTAACTGTACTAAAAACATCCATTATCCTGCCGTTGATTTGTGCCTTGTACTCTCTTACGTTCACTCACTGATTCCACTTGTATTTCTTTGGCACGATCTCGGTATTCTTTCAATACCAAGAGATCGCTAACAAATACATTTCGTTACAACTTGCAACCGCCGTCTGATTTCTGGTACTCAACCTCCTTGTAATGGTGTTCATAGTCAAACGTGACTCGACTCCACACTACACATTCATTCTCATATTTTCATCTATTTCAGACTCATCAAGTATAAACAATTCTCTTTTATATTTGTCCCTTAAATTATGATTTCTCTTTTATTGCTTCTAGAATAATTACGTAATTACGTAACCCTTTGATAAGTCTAACTGCTTATATATATATTTTTAGAAATGACGTAAAATATCTTTATTTTACTATGGTCTATTATATTCAATACTTGAAATATCTTTGTAATCTTTAACTACATTATTATATGATGTAACAATTCTTTAATTCTTATAGACTAATACATTCAACACATTCAAATAAAACTAGCATTTAACTGTCTTTGGTAATTTTATTCAATGATGTAACATTCGTTTATTTTATCATAGTCAGTCAGCTACAACGTAGAACCAGGCACATATGTGCATCGGTCCAAGTTGCCATACCTCATTAACACAACAAGATGAACACCGAATTCATAGAAGCAGTTAATTCAATGATGGTAATATATAAAAGAAAGATTGCATATAAGGATATAGTGCAGGAAGAAAGAATTAGTTTGTAGAAAGAAAAATATGAAGCAATTTTAATCTCATAGTTTAAAGGAAGATGGAGAGTGTATACACCGACACCATTATGATCGATTCTGAGCCATGTCACACAGAGTCTCTAACAATTGGATACGATAGTCACGCAAACTCCAATCAAGTAGTCTGAAATCACCACCAACATGGCTCAGACCAGAAGTCAGTAACCTTGTGAACTGATAGCACGTTATGGTTTGGTCATCCCTAACTTTCTTCCGTGTTTTTCTAACACTAGTCAGCATTGCGCGTCGTCGTAATCATAGACTATCAAATGTAAAATTACCTCTAATAAGTACAGTTTGAATTATGAATATTATGTACAATTCAAATTCGAATTTTTGTCACTGACTAAAATTATTACATTTTACTAGAAAGGAAGGTCCATGACAGAGTGGGTTGAAGGTTGTTGGTCGGCGGTCTATTCTTTACTGGAAGTAACAGGCTTAAGTAAGTAAGTAGTAGTTAAAATCAATCTTGTAATGTCTTCAAGAAACTTTGCTGGTTGAAATCATGAGTCAGTTGAAGCTAGACCACCATAGAAAACCTGAAAGAACTGGACGGCCGTTTCATCCTAGTACAGGACTCCTCGGCAGTGCGCATCCACGGTCACTCCCCCCGTGAGGTTTGAACCCAGGACCTACCATTCCCGTTCCAGGCGCTTAACCAACTAGTCCACTGAGCCGGCGGTGTTAATGTCTAACTTCAACCAATCCACGAAGTTGCGCCACCGTACACCATTGTCTTCAGTGAGTCCCTATCTCACAACAGACCTGGTACAACTCCATTGGTAACTGCTTCTCACTAGAACTCCAAGAGTATCTCTTGAAGTCAGTCACTAGTGAACAAAACTTCGTCAAAAAATATCTATCTATCTACATCATATTCAATTACTTATATTAATACCTTTTAATACATTTCAAGAATCTACATACTTTTTTTTAATTATTATTTCAATGATTGTTGTATAAATTGTGATTGTATTTGATTATGTTGTAATTCATTTGTATCTAATTGTATTGTTTCTATTACTGGATTTATTGTACAATTAGGATTATGATAATCTATACCAAAATAAATAGTATCATCAAATGTAGATAATTTTTTATATTGAGATTGTAATGATAAATGATTCGATTTATTATTTATAAATTGTACATTTTTTATTGTACACCATTGATTATTATTTAGTTCATTAGTTGAATTATTATTATTATTATTATTGTTTTGAAATAGTATTACATCATCTTGGAGTTGAATTGAAGAATGGGGATAAGAATCTGTTAATTGATCTGAACAATATATTACTGAATTATCATTATTACTACTTATATTTGTTGTTGAATATGATGATGTAATGGATTCATGAATATTACTCATAGTGCTTATACTCATATTATTGTTATTTCCATAATTATGAGTATCATTATTACTAATAGTAGTGACAGTGCTAGTAGTTGTTGTTGTTGTATTACTACTATTAATACTACTTATCATTGTATGTGTTGGTTCCAATATAAACGCTGTTGTTGTTCTATTCAACACTGGATAATCATCATTTTGTCTAGAATTTTCTATTGATTTAAATGATGTAAATGTATTCGATGTAGTTATTGGTAATGTAGTATAACCTTTTAATGTATAATAATTAGATAAATTTTGTATTATTTTATTATCAGTAAATAATGTTTCATTTAAACATGAACAATGACTTGGAGTAGCCATTGTAGATGATGGTGAAATTTGATAATGTTGTAATTGATATTGTGATGGTTGTTGATGTTGTTGACATTGTGAATGATAAAGTTGATGTTGCTGATAAAGTTGTTGTTGTTGTTGTTGTTGTTGTTGTTGATGATGATGATGACGATGATGATGTTGGTGCAATGGTAGATCATGAGGTAAAGATCTTTGTAATAATAAAGGATTAGCATATGAATGTTCATTTAACCAATATTTACAACAATCTTTAATATCCATTGTATATGGTTGATTATTATTATTACTACTATTACTATTACTACTACTACTAGTATTACTAACACTACTAGTATTATTATTATTATTATTCGTAATATGATTATCAACTGTTAAAAGACTTTTGAATATTTCATTATCTATTTGTTGATCTGATTGACATTGTGGTTTATCAATTATATATTGTGATATGGATGATTGTTTAATTGGATTATAATAATTTTTATCTATTTCTGTACAATGATTTTGTTTGATTGTTATTGATTTTGATTGTATTAATGAATTTCTTGTTTGATTTAAATGATGACGATATTTACGTGCTAATAACATACCCATTACACCCATTAAACAAGTTAATATACCAACTAAACTCATCATTAATAATATATGTAATGTATTTGAACAATATAATTCTCCACAAATTCTTGATGTAACTAAAAATTTAAACAAAATATCAAAATGTTATAATTTATTAATTGAATGGTACTTGTTATATCTGGTCAATGCTGATTATTATGTCAGAAACTCTTATCATTTATATTGGAAACAAGGGACCTTTACAATTCCCATGATGAGAAAGTTAGAACACAAATACTGGTATAAGTGAAGGTTTATTAACCCTAAAACACAACGACGACGACGATAGTCAGTAATACATTCATCATCACATTGAATCAAAACGAAATTAATGTTGAACAAAACTTATAATGAGTAGATCAATCGAATTTTGACTTTTCTTTTCGTCATATCACAAAACATAGGATGAAACACACAATGAAGAAGTATATTTTATCATTGGTAATAGTTAAATCCAATTGATATGGTTTACTCATATCTTTCGATTGATGTTTAGGACTGCAAATGATCAGTCACTAATTGGCGTATATGCATCCTGTGAGGATTAGCTCAATATTGCCTTAAATCACAAGCATTATAAGTAGAAATGGATAATGGATAGCAGTGAAATTAAGGACATGCGTTTTGTCCTATTCGGGACTCGTCAGCTGGATGTACCTGCATCTTAGTTTTGACGTTCACTCCGCTTCTCGAACCCAGTACCCTAATAAAATGAAACGCACATCCTGGATTCCACTGCTAGCTACTATCCATCTTCGTTTATAATGCTTGTGAATTAAGGCAGTACGCACAATATGCACATATATCAGTAAGAGACTGATCAATCGCAATCATAAACATATATGGGAAGATTCAAGTAAGCAATACTAAGTAAATTTAAACTTTACCCTATTGCACAAGTAGGTGGCTATCAGGACGCATTAGCTAAGTGGATAATGTGATGGCGTTTGAAGCGAACGGTACTGAATTCAAGTCCCACTGTGAACATCAACTCTGAGAATGCAAGTACTTCTAGCTGACGAGTCCCAAATAGTATGAAACGCGAGTCCTGGATTCCACACTTTATTCTTTATTCATGATTTATAGTGTCTTGTATACAGTATAATATTTCACTAACTTTAAAAGTCGTTTATTTATAGTCAAGACAAAGCCTAGTATATATATATATATATATATATATATATATATATATATATATATATATATATATATTACCATATATCATCAGATAAGAAAGAGATTTGAAAAACGAAAAGTATTAATGGTAGTAAGAGAAAAATCAACTGAAATAAAACTAACGAAAAAGAAAGAACTGATGAAAATGTAGAATAAATAAAGTTTCGCCATTGAGATCAACTTTAATCGACATCAAGGTAGTTGACCATAATTAATATATGCCAAAACCAGTTAAAGGTAGTTTGCGTATAATAGATAGAATGTAGCTAGTAGTGGATTCCAGGGTGCGCATTTTATCCTATTCGGGGCTCGTCAGCTAGTTGTATCTGCGTCTCAGAGTTGATGATTACTCCGAGATTCAGAACCAGTATCTTTCACTTCAAACTCTAACACGTCATCCACTAAGCTACTAAGTTCAAATGGCTACTCGCCGGTGCAACGAGTATGGAATTCTGATGTTTCCGACTATTCCGTTATTGGCATTTTGACTTAAATTTTATCATTCTAGGCTAATGAGTCCTAATTAAGACGAAGCGCGCATCCTTGATTCCACTAAAAACCACATTCCATCTTTTCTATATAATCTTGTGTCATAATGGCTATATCGAAGCATTGTGCAAAGGATGTATATATGCCAACTAAGAACGACTAGATTTCAGTTAAAATATCAACAACAGGACAAATGAAAACTATTACGAATTTAATTGATAATTAATAATAGGTCAGTTACTACTATTAGAAGAACGATTTCCCATTACCAATAAAAATTTCCATCTAATAAAATAAGATTTCAAAATAACTATTTTGTGTATTTTATTAAATCTTTGAGAGAGAAATACTAATGAAATTACTTATTAGACTATAGATGAAATTTTGCACAGGACTTGACTTGAGTTTCCATAACTGTACAATAATTCTTTATTCTCAGTCGTCTTTTAACTAAGATCAGTTTGTGATTTAAACTATAAAATAAAATTTACCGCTTGTTAGGTAAGTTTAATACACTTCTGTTTAACAACAATAATTAATTAACTTCAACAAATTTGATGGTTATATTTTCAAGCCAGGATCATATTGTGCTTTATAGCTGGATCATTTAATTACTAAGTTATGGCTCTTTTATGGTTATCTAAAATAATCCAGTTCTGTTTAAATTTTGAAGTTTTCTGACGAAATATTTAAATCAGAATGAGGATTCGTGGAGGTTGTAGTAATTTTAACGAATGAATTCATGAGTCTTGCGTATGAGATAATAGATGCGCATTATTGGGGAGTCCCATACTAGAACAAAACGGTCGTCCAGTGATTTCAAGTTTTCAGTGGTGGTATAGCTTAAACTGACTCATGAATTCAACTAGTAAAATACATAAGTACCAAAAAAAGCTTATATTAGGCTGTTTTTGACTTCTTTCTTTAACTACTTATAAAACTGTTATGCTTGAATTTCAATGTTATTTTGTCAATATAATATTCCTAATGCATTTAAATTAAAACAAAAAAATCTGGTCAATGTTCAATTGAAGACATACCTTGTTTTTTCACTGGTAACTGACTACTTGGAATACTTTCAATTAAATATAATGGTATGGAACGTTGTATAATTCGTAGACTTGGTGGCAGAAATGTTATTCGAGGATTATTCAAACTTGATATAGTTGAATCGCACGCGGAAGGCTATATTTATATGACAATGAAAATTACAATTATGATATGGTTAATAGATTAAGAGTTATTCTAATCGATGAGAACATCTTGAGTAATATTTCAAAACTAAATCGTTTAAAGATCGTAATCCTCACATATTGATTTCCATAGGGGTACCATTGCAAATCAGGGAGCACTGGGTTATTGTTGTGTCCCAACGTGGGACTCCTCAACTGTATTGGTCCGTAACTGATGGAACCCAGAAATGTGGAGAGTGAAACTAATGTCACGTATGCCACGGTATGATCATTGTACTATATCGCAAACTGATTGTAGGTGTAATCATAATGCTGGAAGTAGACCAAGTCGTTCTAATGGTTTAGTGCTTGCCACGAAACTCAAGAGGCTACCTTGGTCCTGGCTGTACCCTGCTGAGGAATCTCATAATAAAACAAAACAGTTGTCCACTGCACTCTGGTTCCCAATTTTAGCCAAGTGAGGTCAGTCTACGACAGATTAAACCTAAGATATAAGCTAAGCTAGACAAAATATCAAATGAAATAATCTATATTTTCCCATTTTAAATAAACTTATACCAATTTGATGCAAGACTATATGAGAATTCTAAGAAAACGTAGGACAGTGAGTACATTCGCTCTGTAACAAATCAATCAATGTTCTTCAAATACCTACTCAAACATTTACATTGGAAACTAAACCAACCCAAATAAGTCACTAGGTTTAGAGTAGTGTATTGAGCTAAGAGCTAAGAGTTAATTGAAGCTCTTGAGAAACCTACTTCGGTACCAAAACTCTAGCGTATGGAATGACTTTGGAATTTATGACACATTGAATGAGAGGAATAATCAGACGATGGAAATACAGTTTCAGAAAATTTTGAAGTCTGATTGAAATGACGATAATGTCAGTTATATTGTTTTCATAAGGTCCTAATTCTTGATAAGTATATATTCGATTTTCTACCTTTTTTTCATAATAGTTAATTAAAAATGTTTCTATGTTTCATTGATCCCATAGAAACGGAGTTTACCGTGGAGATTTTCTGATTTCCGGAACAATATTTCCAGTGTTAAAGTGAATTATTTCCATGATGCAGTTTATTATTAAACATCCGGAAGCACATATAATAAAATATATTTTTATGACAGGGATTAGAGATTAGTCATTTTAAGCCATAAAATGCTCTTCCACTTTTGGCGTCATATCCTTTATCTTTATAATATATGTATATAGTTAAAACTGTCGGAATCCTCAGAGAATTCCTCGACGAAGTTATCAAAATCCAGGGTAAAACTGAAAACATTTCGTTTTTGGTAAGATACACTGCAAAAATGTTTAGAAAACTGACATATTAAATGTCATATGTTAATTGTATGATAAATTACGCTGCTATTAAATTTGAAATACTATCGACATTTCTCGATGGTCAAAGACTGTCAGCAGACCTAGAAAAATACGATTATTTTCTGTATGTAAACGAACCTTGCTGTAAAGTTAGTTTGGTAACTCAATGCATTCTTTGTACTGTTTGAGTTTTAAATATGGGAAAATTCCAAGGATTTAGAAAGTGACTAAAAAGTCAGTATTAAACATTTGTGTAACAGACTTAACAGAGCTTATTCACATTTGACTGCATTACATAATCACTGAAAACATTATAAAAATGTGCACAACTGCACAACGACAAAGCTTAATATAAAATTGTTACAATAAATAAGATAAAAAATTGTACCTCAAGTGGATTTTTTTGTGGCTATTATAGAGCTAGTTGAGTTAGATGCTTCAGTTCTGGAGTTTACATATAGAACTGGAAAATAAAACTTTCAAAGATAACCAATCACTAACAAAACGATCAGAATGTATAGTTTTAACTCTACAGTAATAACTATTATGCTCATTTCAATAAGATGTAGGCGTTAATGATGTTGTATGGGGTGACATTAAAAGCTTTACAATTAAGCTTCTTGTTCAATGAACTCCAACAATAATAACTGAATGAGAATTTCTACTATAAATTTAACTGATAAGGTACCTGGAAAAAGTTTTTTGACTTTGTTTTCGCTTCCTCAGTGAATTATATCTACAATATTCCATAAGAGAGTGCTAAACTATGTTAATCTAGTAGTAAACACGATATCAATGAATTATGAAGTATAAATCTGTTTACCACTATTCCGAATTTTAATAGTGGGAAAAATGATCCTCCCTGATGGATTCGAACACTCTTCATTCAGTATCATAATTTGAAACATTCTAGCCACAACTGACCTTCTGTAGAACTGAGATATTTACAAGTAATTGATTGCTGAGCAATGATTAATGCCATGTTTATCTACTCATTTAATATCAGATGGGTTTTGTGGATATTATAGTAATTCCAATGGTTAAGATCATTAGTCAGTTGGATGCCGGCTCAGTGGTCTAGTGGTTAAGTGCTGGCGTGCGAAACCAGTAGGTCCTGGGTTCGAATCTCGCAGAAGGCGAGGTCGTAGATGCACACTGCTGATGAGTCCCACAATAGGACGAGACGGCCGTCCAGTGCTTCCAGGTTTTCCATGGTGGTCTAGCTTCAACTGACTCATGATCTTAACCATAGTCATTTAATGTCGATCCAATTGCAATCCCATAAGAATCATCATTTTCCTCAAAATTACAGATATTTCATGTTGAATAATGTAAACGAATATGAAATTCAAGTTTAGAGTTTCTTGTCAATTACTTCCAGCTACTTTCCATCTCAACAACATGTACTTAGTGTTTAATCGGTTGAACTAATGAACAATTTGAATGATAGAATTAATCATCTATTTAAAGATTAAACAAACATGTCATATATCATTACTTAGTGATCAATTAATTGTACATGATTATGAATAAGTAAACTAATAATGATTTTAAATAGAATTTTGTGCAATTTGCCAAGGACATTTAACAATTTATAACATTTTTTTCCTATATTCATTACCCATTACGTCAATGTTAAAGTAACATTAAGAATTCATTGCAACGTGGATATGTATATATAGTATCTATCATAATGTGTATACATTTCATTGAACTGACTATAAATAAAATGGAACTTTTTCAACAACAAAAGAAAACACAAAAAAAACGTATTTTTATATACATACACATATTTCACAGGAAGGGACAATAATAGAATAAACAATTTTACGATATATATACCTTTAATACTATACAACGCACAGGAAATGAGTGAATGACAAGAAATGGAGTAAAGATATCAAATGAAAGTCAGTGTAATCCTTTTTTTAGTTTGAAATATATATATCGCTATTTATAGATTAGACTTTTGTAAACTGGTTGTACTATATAACTGCCAAATATATACTCCATCACTTTGCATCCTCTTCACTATCGCCTGATATTCATGTTTTACTTTTACTCCTCTTCTGTTTTTTTTTGTTTACTGTACACACTCTCTCTCTACCACTAACTGTATATATCTCATTTATTCTTGTTTAAATTTTCATTGTTTATATACGTGTATTTATATAACTGTCCGTGAGTAGGTTATGTTTATCTCTGTGTAAGTGTGTTGTGTGTGTGTGTGTTGTAGAGATATTCTATCGTAAATATTTTCAAAAGTTATCATAAATGTAAATTTTTCTCATCATATCACTATCTTGTGTTCGCGTCAGTTTCCACCCCCACCATTTTTTTTAACGAAATTTGTCATATTTATTTATTTATTTATACTAAGTGTTAGGTGAACAATTGTGGTTGAATGTATCACTATGTAGGCTTAAATGTTTATGACTCTATGTGTGTATATATGTTGTTGTACATTAATCATATTTATACTACTATTACTTCTACCACTAGTAATACTATAATACTACTACTACTAATACTACTACTGCTACTGCTACTACTACTTCTACCACTACTAATACTATACTACTATTGCTACCACTTAAATCATCCACTTCTGATATTATTCAAATCTCATAAAATGTTCTTTATGTTATTTCTTTTCAATAAAAGAAAGATCGTGTTTTCTATGGCTATTTATTTCAAATAAAGTTTTCCTTTTAACTATTATATCACTATGACATTTAGATTTGATTTACTTTTTAATTGTTTGAAAATAGGAAAAAAATGATTGAACATATAATGAATATTGAACAAGTGAATTGAAGTTAACCTTTCGAAACCTTAATTTATAAATGATGTACTTTTCAAAAAAAAGATAATTTATTTAGAAATATATAAAGATTTTTTTGTCATATATGAATAAAGACATACTGTCACTATCAAATATGTGAATAAAACAAAGAAATAAACCGATGAAAATATGATCTTTCACTGGTTGAAATCATGAAACAATTGAAGCTAGACCACCATAGAAAACCTGGAAGCACTGGATGGCCATTTCACCCTAGTATGGAACTCCTCAGTAGTGCGCATCCACGATCCCGCCGTCCGCGAAATTCGAGCTCAGGACCTATCAGTCTCGCATCAGGCGCTTAACCAACTAGACCACTGAATCGTCTGGCATCAAATGGTGTTAATGTCTAACTTCAACCAATCCACGAAGTTGCGCCACCGTACACCATTGTCTTTAGTGAGTCACTATCTCACAACAGACCTGGATCATGGATGCGCACTGCTGAGGAGTCCCATACTTGGACGAAACGGCCGTCCAGTGCTTTCAGGTTTTCCATGGTGGTCTAGCTTCAATTGACTCATGATTTCAACCAGTGAAATTTGTAAAAATCTCCACCAAACCCATTCTGAAAATATGATCGCAAAAAAATTTTTTTTATTGATGAATGACATCAAAAAGGATTCTCCCGAATAGAATAGATTAGAGAATGATGTTTGTACATTTACTCTCCATAAAATGTAACTAAGTAAATAAACAAGTAATGCCTAAATAGATTTTAATAACACTCGTTAGTTACTGGGGCTCAATTTTAAAATGAAATTTTGTTTATAAAATAGTTTACGATGAATCAGAAATGTATTTGAATACAATGGGAATA